TTTATTGAGGTGTATTGACAAGCAAAAATTATATATAAAGTGAACAACTTGATGTTTTGATGTACGTTTACATTGTAAAATGATCACCACAATCAGTAGCATATGCATCATCTCATGTAGTGATTGCTTAGCAAATTTCAAGTCGAGAGTATGTATTGTTGGTATGGGGCAGTGATGGCGAACCTATGACATTTTTTGGTTGATTTTACTTTGTTAAATGGTATTTAAATATATAAAATAAATACCAAAAATATAAGTCTTTGTTTTACTATGGTTGCAGATATCAAAAAATTTCTATATGTGACACGGCACCAGAGTTAAGTTAGGGTTTTTCAAAATGCTGACACACCGAGCTCAAAAGGTTCGCCATCACTGATATAGGGTGACCTTTGAACTCAGATTGCATAGCTGGAACTTTGTACACTTTGATCTCCCCATCTCCCCCACCCCAGCCCCTGGCAACCACCATTCTGCTCTGTGATAGCTCTTATCTCTCTGCTGTCTGTGGCTCTGTCTACACCCATTGCATTACCCCACAGATCCAGAATCACTTCTCTGTTGCATCAGGGACCCTACTGATACTAAACCGTTCTCCTTTTTAGCTGGTTTTTGGCACCTTCATCTCAAGACCCTGCTTTCTCCCTGGCTACCACTCCTCAGAGTGAAATTAGGTCTCCTGGCCCCCTCTTGTACCCTAAAATGGCCATGTGGCCAGGGATTTCACTGGGCTCATCTCTCTAGTCTTGCTTCCTTGGTAGTACTGTTCAAAATCCACACTGGGCAGAGCAGGTCTCACCCCAGACACCACATGTCTTCACTCAGCCCTCATTCGTTCAGTTCAAGTCTCCGAATAAAGTTGTTTCACAATTTGTGAGGTACAATTTTGCATCTATTTATTTTAACAAAAATACATATATTACTGACAACAGTATAAATTGTTATTCCCTATTGGAAAGCAATTTGGGGTGAAAATTGCGAGAACCATAAAAAATGTGCTTCCCTGTGTACCTCCATTCCACACACCCTCAGGGATATATCCTATAGACATAATTTTAAAAAGAAGAAGTCACTGTAGAACAGAAAATGTTATTGCTATAATAATTGTTATTGTGGGAAATTAGAAATAGGCTAAACGCTTAGCAGCATGAAAACAGTGAAATTATAGTAAATATAATCTATGAAATCATTATGCTTCCATTAAAATAGTAAATATGAAGCCACGTGGGGAAAACAGCTCATGTTAGTGGAAATGAGACTGATTTAGGAAGTAGCCATCCCCAGCTGGTATGGTTCAGTGGTTGAGCATCAACCTATGAACCAGGAGATTACGGTTCGATTCCCTGTCAAGGCACATGCTTGGGTTGCGGGCTTGATCCCCAGTAGGAGGCGTGCCCAGGCAGCTAATCAATGATTCTCATCATTGATGTTTCAATCTCTCTCTCCCTCTTCTTTCTTCTCTGAAATCAATTAAAAAATGCATTTTTTTAAAATAAGAAAGTAGCTGTCGGTTGAGCACCAAATTAGGTTTTTCTGTTTTTCCACATTGAGACCCATGTTGAGGGCTAACCAGCTAGTGAGCAAGAAAGGAAGTTAGGCCTCCTTTGCATCATGACCCATGTGTCTTGCAGTTGGGAAAGATCGGATTTTACTTGGTTTAATAATGGTATTATTTTCCCAAACTAAACAGCAAAAGTGTGTTTGTCTTCATTCAGACTAGAGATGTGGTCTATATGAGGAGTCATCAGATAGGGTCTCAAGAGAGGAAAGTAATTCAATGCAATGGGAAGGTGCAGTAGAATCAGAGAGCCCAGGTTTCGTATTCTGACTTTGCTAAACTTCGCTACTTATTAGGGACCTTATGTTAAGAACTTGACAGCTCTTAAGCCAGTCAATGAAGGAAAAATACCACATGATCTCACTCATTCATGGATAATAGAGACCATTATAAACAATAATAGATACAGAGGCAGAGCTGCCTCAGATTGTCAAACTGACTGCAGCGGGGAGGCCAGGGAGGGTTGGGGGGCATGAGGGAGTGGGGTAAGAGATCAACTGAAGGACTTGTATGCATGCATATAAGCATAACAAAAAATAAAAAGAACTTGACAGCTCTGAATGTAGGTTTTCCCATCTATAAAATGGGAGCTATTAAAGGTACCTCCATCATGGAGTTGCGTGAGGTAAAGCAGATAAATCAATTCAATGTAGTGGGAAGGTGCCGTAGAATCAGAGAGCCCGTGTTTTGTATTCTGACTTTGCTAAACTTTGCTACTTATTAGGGACCTTATGTTAAGGACTTGATGGCTCTGAATGTAGGTTTCCCCATATGTAAAATGGGAGCTATTAAAGGTACCTTCATCATGGAGTTGCGTGAGGTAAAGCAGATAAATAATTCAGTATAGTAACTGTGCAGAGTAAGGGTGATTACTGTTGTTGCTGTAGTTACTTACTGCTAAGCTAGGTTGTTTGGTACAGTGGAAAACATAGGGACTCTGCATTCGCACTGGTCTGGCTTTGAGTCTCAGCTCCATGGCTATTAGCACTGTGACTCAGTCTTGGTTAAAATCATATTCATTTATTGCTCAACCCCAATATTCTCATCTTTAAAACGGGGACACTGTTATTTAACTCGCAGTTTGCTGTGAAGATAAATGAAGGAGACCACGTACGTGAAGGGTTTTGTAATGTTTGTTGCTTGTGATTTCCCATTGAAATGGCAGACACTCCTGAACAGCAGGGGCAATGACCACTTCTGGAAACAGCGCTTGGCCGGCTTAGACTGGACAGCCGAAGATATCGCGGCGTTTCTGGCCAAGTACCCAGAGGACGTGCAGTCAGAGAACGGCTCTGTGTACACCTGGAGAGAGGCTTTCAATGAGACCAACGGGGCGGTCCAGACCATAGGCCGCTTCATGGAGGTGAGGCTCTCTTCTGTGGAGCATTTAGAAAAGGCCATGCTGTGGTTTTTCCCCTCTGACATGGTGCAGTCAGTCAGATTGGAGGGATGCTTAGGAATAATGTACAGGCTTATTTACAGTAGTGTCCTCAAACCTAACATAGGACTTGGTGTACAAAAGGCACTCAGTAAATGTCAGCTGAATGATCAAATACGTAAATAAACAAGTCTAACTCGAGCTTTTTTTCTGTCAGACCTAAGAGTGTTTCTATGAAATTTATCTGAAATCTAATCAGACAGATTACATTTTTAAAAATGTAGTCTCTTAAAAATGATGTCACTTAAGAGGGACAAGTTTATTTATTTGGTTAGTTGTTAATGTCTCAAAATTGCTAAGAAAACAGAGAGGAAAATGAGGCATGGTCATTGTTTGAACCTCTTTCCCACACAAAAGTCAGTTTAAGTAACTTATCCCTAAATTTCAGTTAAGAAATATGACCCATTTTCAGTTGCATATTGGAAAATGACTCGAGGGGAGATTTGTAGAGTGAGGATAGAAAAGCCACATAGTCTTTTGCTCTCAGGGTCAGGTTTTCCTGGGCCACTGCTTGCTTTTCTGGCCACCACACTACTCATGACAGCTGTTCTTCCTTCAGTGTGTCAACCTGAACAAGGTGGAACCGATCGCAACAGAGGTTTGGCTCATCAACAAGTCCATGGAGCTGCTGGATGAGAGGAAGTTCTGGGCTGGAATCGTGTTCACCGGGATTCCCCCCGACAGTGTCGAGTTGCCCCATCACGTCAAGTACAAGATCCGCATGGACATTGACAATGTGGAGAGGACAAATAAGATCAAAGATGGGTGAGTTGAGTCCCATCACACCAGCCAGCCCCGGGGAAGTCAAGAGCAGCTAAGATGACTAGGGGTTCTTACTTTTATTGACTAATTTGTTAGAAACTTAAACGGGTGGCATAATTTTGGTGCAGTGGCCACATTTCTTGATGGAGACAGTTATTTCAAAGGTAATGAGATATCTTTTTTTAGAAAATATTATTATCTTTTGATTTAGCCTTCTCACTCAAGGGAATTAATCCCAAGGAATTAAATCAACAGAACAAAAAAAGGAGAAAAAAAGACTCTGGGTTCCCCATGGTAGCATTATCCTTTTTTACAAAGGGGCAAACAATCAATATGGAAAGGAGTGGTCAGGTAAATTGTGGTATGTCTACTAGATGCAATGTTATTCAGTGGACGGGGAAAACAAGCTAAGTGGTATGCTCTTTCTGGTGTCTATTTAAAAATATGTGTACATGTCAACTGACACCAGAAGGTAAGATACAAACATAAAAACAGTGGCTGGGAGCGGTGATGGGATTGCGGGTGATTGGGTTTTTATTGTGTGGTTCTGTGAAATGTTTGATCGCCTGTGTCTCGGTTTCAGGTACTGGGACCCTGGTCCTCGGGCGGACCCCTTTGAGGACATGCGGTACGTCTGGGGGGGCTTCGCCTACCTGCAGGATGTGGTGGAACAGGCGATCATCCGGGTGCTGACGGGCACTGAGAAGAAAACCGGGGTCTACGTGCAGCAGATGCCCTACCCCTGTTACGTCGATGACATGTAAGTCACCAGGAAGCCACCTTCTTTATTTAGCGAGCTGACACTGTCCCCAGGTGGCGTGTAGACACGCACACACCCAGGGAGGAGACAGAGCGCTTTGATTTTATTTATTTTATGTGGGTGTTGATACTGGTCATAAGTTATTTTTGAAATTCTGTGAAGATCTCAGGAACTGAGATACCAGATGTAGGTAGTTGACAGTTTGAGTCACATCAGAGACATGGACATGTGCACACACTGTCGATCCTCCTTCCCTTCTCGTCCACAATTACCAGGACTTTTTTTTTACACTTTACTCTTTTGAACCTCTTTCCTGCACAAAAGTCAGTCAAGTAACTAAGTAACTTATCTCTAAAAGTTCCCAATCTGCACGTTTAAAATGTCACGACAAACACATACACACATTCCCCAAACACAGGGACAGCGTTCCAGACCTAGAAAAGCCCACTGTGTGCAAACATATGTACTTCTTCTCCGTAATGGATAAACCACATTTTGAAACAACCCAAGTGAAATTGAACAAGGCCTTTTTATCTTAGACTTTTAAGATAATGTTTTAGTGCTTAGTCACTGTGCTGCCAACTTCTCATGGTGGGAGCTGGGCCTTTCGATCTAATGATTTCTTGTGAGAGAGCATGGGGAGAAGTATAATCACCTCAGGCACCTGAAATAGGTGATGCCTCTTCCCAACTGGAAAGTGTCTGTGCTCTTTTGTTGCTGGTGTGTGTGTGTGTGTGTGTGTGTGTGTGTGTGTAGAGATCAGAGTGCGGAAGGAGCAGGGTGCCTCTCCCTGTGTTTACTCTCTGCTTTGCACTGGGCAATTGTCTCTCCTTGTGTGGCTCACTCTAGCTTTGCCATGCCACCCAGAACTATCTTGCTTCTTATATCCTGAAAGATGAGCCAGAACTTCCCGAAGGAAGACTATCCCAAAGTGCCCCTCAGCCCAGATTCACTCTAGAAAGCATGTCTTACGATGAGGATGCTGCGAGTCGAGGCAGTAAGAGTCTTGCTGTTGACTCGCAGCAGTGTGTGCAGAAGGGGTAAAGCTGGGCCGCGGACCTCGATTTTCAGGGACCAGATTCTGTGTCCCATTTGCTTCACTGCATTTCCTGTTCTCGTTTGGAAATACCCCTGACAAGAGCTGCCTGATGTGTGTTTCTGCACCATCTGTCATACTGGTTGTGCAAGGCAAGTCAGTAGTGCGATGCGATGACCTTGGAGATGTTGAACTTTCATGAGAGAATGAGTTTGGGGTTTTTTGTTTTTCGTTTTGTTTTGTTTTAGTCATTTAAAAACACCCACATTTAGGTTAATGACATCCCGGAGTTACCTAGTTACTAAAGCAGGCCCCCAAAGAAGTTTATTTTGCCAATACGTTGTTGGTTTGATTTTTTATCGCTACATTGCACTGCTCATGCCATGAGCTCTCTGTGTGTCCGGGTGCAGAGGGCCTGCCATCTTTGGCTCAGTCGCGGTGCTTTCTCTTGCATGCAGGCCTGGAGGCGTTGGCCCATGAGTCTGGCTCACACTTGTCTTTAATTCTCCCCTTCCCTTCCCTGGGGCCTCAGCTTCCTGCGGGTGATGAGCCGGTCCATGCCTCTCTTCATGACACTGGCCTGGATCTACTCGGTGGCTGTGATCATCAAGGGCATCGTGTACGAGAAGGAGGCGCGGCTGAAGGAGACCATGCGCATCATGGGCCTGGACAATGGCATCCTCTGGTTCAGCTGGTTCATCAGCAGCCTCATCCCTCTGCTCGTGAGCGCCAGCCTGCTGGTGGTCATCCTGAAAGTAAGGCTGCCCCCGGCTCCTCCCAGCATGGGCTGCGTGAGGGGGAGAAAAGCAAATACTCTTTGGGAGGGAAGGGGTCAGGCATGCCATCTCCTGCAATGCCCCCAGTTTAAAGTTGGGAAAAGTGAGTCCCTGGCAGGGACAATGACTTTCTCAAGGTCAGCCTAGCTGGGAAGCAGCTAAGCAGGATTACAGCTCAGGGTGCTTGCTTCCCAGGTAAGCCCACACTTACCTTGTGCCATGCTGTCTGCTGGGCAGAGGTTCATGACAGCATCTGAAAGCTGGTCACTGCCTTACTCATCTTGGGCGGTGCTTCCTGGAATATCTAGAGCAGTGGTTCTCAACCTTCCTAATGCCGCGACCCTTTAATACAGTTCCTCATGTTGTGGTGACCCCTAACCATAAAATTATTTTTATTGCTACTTCATAACTGTAATTTTGCTACTGTTATGAATCATAATGTAAACATCTGATATGCAGGATGTATTTTCATTGTTACAAATTGAACATAATTAAAGCATAGTGATTAATCACAAAAACAATATGTAATTATATATGTGTTTTCCGATGGTCTTAGGCGATCCCTGTGAAAGAAAGGGTTGTTCAATCCCCAAAGGGGTCGTGACCCATAGGTTGAGAACCGCCGATCTAGAAACTGTAGTCAGAAGGACACATGGTTACAGGTTAGGTTTCCTGGAAGCAGAGGCTGGAACCGCTTGGCATATGAATATTTAGTAGGGATCAGTGTCTCTGGGGAGGATGCAGGACTGGGCAAAGGGAGCAGTTGAACGGCAATGCAAGGCAACCCCATGGGCACTGGGAGCCTATATGCTTGTCAGAGTTGTCCCTCATGGAGCTGAAGTGTCCAGCTCTTTAGGTTCCCCAAGGCCTCCCTCCCTGGCATCCCCTGCCCAGGCCCCTCAGCCAGTCCTTGAACGTGTGTGTTCCTCAGGGCCAGGTGCTCTCTGCAGCGGTAACAGACCCAGAGAATTTGGTACCCGGAGGCTGTCTGCTGACAGCCGGACAGGTCCCCCCAGAAGGGGACTGTCGGCACAGTTCTCTGTCCACCACATACATTAATAAGTTTGTAGGCCAGTTTTCTTTCTCCACAATCATTTCCGTTAAGGACCCATCTGATAAAAATAAGTGTTTTTAAAGAGGGAGGTGTGCAGTGGCATAGGAACTAACATTCATTGTCGTACTAGTTACTATTCATTACAAATGTGCACTTATCGATTGCCCAGCACTTTAAATCTTATCACTGGTGCCGTCTTAGTATATCCTCACTAAATAACCCACCGAACGTACAAGGAAATGAGACCAAGGAGGGTTACGGACTTCACTGAGGTCGTCTGACCCTGTGGCAGAGCAGTTCTTGCTAAAAGCGAACCCCTCTCATGCTCTGGTGCCTGACTGTGAGGGACGGAGCTCTGTGGTGGGTGTGGGGGTCCCGTAGCAGGTGCATGGGAGCTACTCTGGGACTACTGCATGCTGGCAGGTCCTGCTCAGATACACCCAACTCCTGCAGATAAATGTAAAGGTCCACCGAGTTCAGGTGACTGGGAGTGTGGGATCCATGGCTGGTTGTCAAGGGGGATGTTACGATTGCCTGGCCACTTTCCTTGGCTGTTGGAGGGGGAGGTCGTGTGGGTTGCCATTACTCTCACAACTCTCTTGGCGCCAGGAGTCAAAGTCATTTAAAAGAAAAGCCAGGTCAGATTGCTTTGAGAAATAAAGAACAAAATTGTTGAGATAAACCTTGATGAGTGCCAACCCTGGACTCTGTTCTGGTCCTGACTTACCACTAATTTGCTGTGTGGTCCTGGGTTAGTCATTTCCCTTCTCTAGGCTTTGGTTTCTTCATCAGAAAAACAAACAGCACCGTTCCTCAGTATCGTCTCTAAGAGGAGAAGGAGTGAGCCCCGCTTCGTCCCGCAGGTCATGCGAGGATGTGCGTGCTGGTTGAAAAGGCAGCACGTTTATTGGGTCTCTTCCTTTCCAGCTGGGAAACCTGCTGCCCTACAGCGACCCCAGCGTGGTGTTTGTCTTCCTGTCCGTGTTCGCCGTGGTGACCATCCTGCAGTGCTTCCTCATCAGCACGCTCTTCTCCCGGGCCAACCTGGCGGCAGCCTGCGGGGGCATCATCTACTTCATGCTGTACCTGCCCTACGTCCTGTGTGTGGCCTGGCAGGACTACGTGGGCTTCACGCTCAAGATCTTCGCGGTGAGTGACCCTGGCCTGTCTGTGGTCGCCGCTGTCCCAGCCGCCCCTGGGCTTCTCCTCTGCTGCGGTCCAGGCTGAGAGAGTCTCCAATGGGATGCGATGGGAAGCTCAGAGCTGGATTCTAAACTGCTTGAAGGCAGGGGCTGCGTCTCATGAAATTGTTTACCGTTAGTCCTCTCAGTGAATCGAATGGCCGAATTGAATCAGATGGAATTTTTCAGAGCCAGGCTGTACCATCCACCTAGCTGTGGGTATATGGCATAGGGGAGCCCGTTTAGACAGTAGATGCCGTTTCCACCTTCTGTCTCCACCCCCACGTGAGCTCACCGTAAGTCACAGCTACAGATAGAACTGAAACCTCTTGAGGTCACAGGTGGCTCCTCCTTGACTCTGTGCTCCTTGTGTCCAGCATGGGTCTCACTTGAGTAACGTTTTCTGAACTGAAAAAAACTGAGGAGCAGGTGCCCCATCTCCCACGGACCCCTGCCCTCAACATTTCCCTTCCTTGTCCACGGGAGGAGGGGCCTTCAAGGGTGTGTAAGCCCATGTAAGGGTGAGTTGCCAGCTGTCCCTCGGATCACTTCCAAAAGTCACCTCTGGTGCCTCGGTTTGGACCCTTAAATATCAGGGGCCCCAGGCAGGCTGCTCTGACAGGAGCCATCAGTGCTGAGCAGAGGGCTCGGGAGGATCTGGATGATGTATGAGCGTATGTGTGGGGCGCAGGAATGTTGAGCCCTTGGGGCATCTTTGGGAGCATAAAATTCTAAAAGTTTTACACTTCATCATATCGCGTTTCCGAAATGTGTGCGCATAATGAGTGGCTATAAATAGAATCATTTTATATGCTGTCAAGGAGCCCCCCGCCCCAGAGGGACCCTGTAGATGACTACTTCCATGTCTTGTAATTGATCCATTTTGCACATTCAGATTTCTCCAGGTGAAATTTACATGGGCAGTGTTAGGAAAAAGAGACAGGAGATGGATGAGTGACTTTCGCCTCTTTCTCACAGAGCCTGCTCTCCCCCGTGGCTTTCGGTTTTGGCTGTGAGTACTTCGCCCTTTTCGAGGAGCAGGGCATTGGGGTGCAGTGGGACAACCTCTTCGAGAGCCCCGTGGAGGAAGATGGCTTCAACCTCACCACCTCGGTCTCTATGATGCTGTTTGATGCCTTCCTCTATGGGGTGATGACGTGGTACATCGAGGCTGTCTTCCCAGGTACACCAAGCTTCTGCCTGCTTTAGCCGTCTGCTAGGGACATGCGACTTGTAGCTGCAGAGCTTGTCTCCCTTGTTGCTGGGACTTCTGCAGGGCCAGGGGCTCCCTGGAAAGTGGCTACGGCTTTAGACCTATGTGTAGACCTGTGGCAAATACACAGACCAAGGAGAAGCAGCTGATGTTAGAAGTACAACTCTTACTACGGATATACCCCTTTTTCTTTTTTAAAATTATATGTTTACTGATTTCAGAGAGGAAGGGAGAGAGAGAGAGAGAAACATCAACGATGAGAGAGAATCATTGATTGGCTGCCTCCTGCATGCCCCCTGCCCCTCCCCACTGGGGATTGAGCCTGCAACTTGGGCATGTGCCCTTACCAGGAATCAAACCATGTCCTCCTGGCTCATAAATCGACACTCAACCACTGAGCCATGCCAGCCGGCTAGCCCTTATTTCTTGAGCTCTCTGTGCCAGGCACTGTCCAAAGTGTTTTATATACTTTGGTTCTATTAAAATACTCATAAGACTGCAGTGAAGAAGTTTCTGTTATAACCAGTGTTTGCAAATGATAAAACTGTGACTCAGAGAAGTTAAATAATTGCCTGTAGCCACACAGCTGGTAAGTGTCAGTGCTTGGAGGTGAACCCAGTTGGGTTACCCTGAGTCAGCTGGCCCAGGAGATTGCTCCCAGAGCTGACCCAATTCTCTCATCTGCATCCCCAGAGTTACCACTGGTAGAGGCTCTGTATCCTCAGCACAGCTTGTGAATAACTCATACATTGGCTCCAAGCCCTGGCTTGTGATCTAATCGAATTAGCATTCATAAAAATTTATTCACTACTTCCCTTAATACATCTCCTTGACCAAGACCTGCCTTGGATACATTTTCACATAAGATCAAATTCTGAGAGAGCAAGGTTTAACTTTTTCTGGTTCACCTTCTAATTTTCCCCTAAGGGAAGGTGGGTGGGTATACGTGAAATGTTTATTATCCCTACCTGAACTTCCTGCATAGGATATGCAATTCTGTATCATACAGATCTAAATTCAATTCTGAGCCCTCCACTTACTGGCTGAGTGATCTTGGGTAGAGGAATTATCCCTCAGTTTCCTCTTTTCTAAAATAGGGACGACAGCTGTGTCATGGGGTGGTTGGGAGATGGAAAGAGGTGCAAACTTATGTCATACAAAGTAGGTCTCCTCAAATGGTAGCTCCCCTCCCCCCTTCCATTCCAGCCTGTCCCATCTCGTCTCCGAAGGAAGGCAACGCAAGGAGAGAGGGGGTAAATGGCATCAGGAAATGGTTGGGAAATCTCAGGAATGCTGGAATGTGGCCGAGCTTGATTCATACCTGTGCTTTGCTTTCAGGCCAGTATGGAATCCCCCGGCCCTGGTATTTTCCTTGCACCAAGTCCTACTGGTTGGGTGAGGAAAGTGATGAGAAGAGCCATCCTGGTTCCAGCCAGAAGGGCGCATCTGAAAGTGAGTGCTGCTGCCCCCACTGACTGCTGCGGGCAAGAGTCTAAAACCACTCCTTGTCCCTTTCCCAGTTCTCCCAAGCGGTTTGTGTCAGTGCTGTTGACTTGTCAGAGAGTTAGCATCTGAGTCCCTGAGGCGTGTTTTCTTGGCTTCTTGGGAAGTGACTCTAAGCCTCCTCCACCCTCCCCACCACCCCTCCACTTTTCATGCCATCGTAATGAGAAGAAGGAAGAGATAGATACCACTGTGATTGTGGAACCGTCCTCTCACTGCCTGCCTGACCATGCTGACAGCTGTAGGAACCAGTGTGGGCTGACACCACGTGGCTGCCACAGGCTCAGCCTGGGCTTCTTAATGTTCTCACCTTCGTTACCCAGAGCCTAATCCTCTCCTGGGTTCTGACCTGCGGGTGGTGATGCCTATAGTTCAGCAAAGGCTCTGCCTTCTGGGCTCTTTGCTCAGATTCTTGGAGGGAAGTTACAAAAGGAAACTTGTATCTTTCACCCAGTTTTCTCCAATAGTGACACCTAATGTAACTATAGTAACAATCTCAAAACCATGAAATTGACATTGGTCCATTTCACAAACCTTCAGATTTCATGCACTCGTGTTACATGCACGTGTGTGTGTGTGTGTGTGTCTGTTAAGTTCTGTGCAGTTTTATCACTTGTATAAGTTCATGTAATCACTGCTTCAGTCGAGATGCAAAACTGTTTATTTCACCACAAGCTCCCTCCTGTGACCCTTTCATAGCCACAGCCCTTCCTCCCCATTCTGTGACATCTGTCAATCAAGATTCTGTTCTCCACTTCTATAATTTTATTATTTCCATAATGTTATATAAATGGAACCTTACAATATATAATCTTTTGAGATTGGATTTTTATTCTGTATAATCCCCTTGAGATCCATCTAAGTTGTGATGTGTATCAACAGATTGTTCTTTTTCATTGCCGAGTAGCACTCCACAAGATGGCTGCACCACAGGTGTCAGGCCACTTCAAATGTGTTTTTTAAAGAGCTTTCAGCATCTTATATTTTAGCTGATTGTCAAGTCTTTTCCCCCTACAGGACTGATCCTCCTGTATCATTGTGTTCCCATCACCAACACCAGTGCCCAAATGGGCCCTAAGTAAATACAAGGGTGGGCAAAAGTATGTTTACAAGTTGTGAGGACGTGAAGCAGAGTTTATTCTTGTACTATTATTTATTTATCAGCTATTATATTACTTATGTATTATTATTAGCCTACTTCTGTGCACCCCTGTATTTATAGCCTGTCCTCCTTCCTGGGAAACCAGAAGGGGCCATGGAGAGGGGCCCAGCTGCTGGTCTCCACAGGCCGCGCGTCATTGTCTTCTGCATTCGTTCCTGTGTTCTCCCTTCTCACAGTCTGCATGGAGGAAGAGCCCAGCCACCTGAAGTTGGGTGTGTCCATTCAGAACCTGAGGAAGGTTTACCGAGATGGCATGAAGGTGGCTGTCGATGGCCTGACCCTGAATTTCTACGAGGGCCAGATCACTTCCTTTCTGGGCCACAACGGAGCCGGGAAGACCACCACCATGTAAGAGGGCGTGGTTCTCTCAGCATCAGCCCAGGGCGGTCCTTGAGCACAGTTAGAAATCCATCCCTAAGCACACTGCGTTGGTCACTGGGCAAGGGCAGGACACAGGAGGAGAGGATGAGTGTAAAAATGCTATCTAATCAGATGGTGCTTTCCAAAGGCCGGGTTTACTATGTGTTATTGATTCAGCCTACAGCAGTCTGGGGGCCTTTTCCTGACCGTTCCCGTTCAGTTCTCGGCAGTGTGCTCGGAACGTGAAGCTCTCACAGCTCTGAGAAAGGTTCTCTTTTGGAGCTGCTTTGCCCAGAAATGTGAGATAAGAAAGATTAGATGTGTTGGAGGGAAGTAGCATTTCCAGGAACTTTGTCCCTAAGCAGCTGTGAGAAGCAGCTGGGCAGCTGGCTGTATGCTTGTCTTCCCTGGACCTACAAGGACCTAGTGGGCAGCTTCCAAAGGGCGCAAAGGCCACGGAAACACCAGAATTAGCCTTAGCGGCTTTCAGTGTGGTCCCTCAGCCATTGCAAAGGATATGTCATTGGGGGCGACCTTTTTCTATTTTATCTTTTTTTAATGCAAAACCAATATGTTACGAACACTGCAGAAAATCCTTAAAAGGCGTGCAAAAATCCTACCATTAACACAAACAAAATTATTTTTATCTTGAATACTTTCTTGTTGTTCATCCATTTTATGTGGACATGATCGTAGGCATGCAGAATCCATGTCCAAAACTAGTTTTCAGTGCAAATTGGAGTTCATTAAAAAATGCTCATACTGAGGTGGTCACTTTGAATATGTGGCCCACTCATAGTCACTAAAGCGAAGGTTTGTTTGCTTTGTGGGGTGTCAGAGCCCATTAGGAAGGAGTCTGGGGTGGGAGGCTTGATGCCTCTGCTCTGTGCTGGCTTTGCAGCCGGGTATGGAGCGTTTCTGGGAAGGTGGGGCTTCACGCTGACTCCTGGACTCGAACATTCTGTCCTCAGGTCCATCCTGACTGGGCTGTTCCCTCCCACCTCGGGCACCGCCTACATCCTGGGGAAAGACATTCGCTCCGAGATGAGTACCATCCGGCAGAACCTGGGGGTCTGCCCCCAGCACAATGTGCTCTTTGACATGTGAGTACCAGCAGCACAGGAGGGCGGAGCCTCTCTGGATATGTGGGGTCATGAGTCAGGGGCAGAGGAGGACTTAAACATTTTATGCTCTTTGGTGGTGTCCTCGCCTGGACACTTGGAGACCTGGTTGTCCCTCAACTTTAGGAAAAAGAGGAGGTAAACTGTAGGATGGGAGATGTTCCATCAGCCCCGCCCTAGGATGGGGGCTTGGGAAATGGTGCTGTCCATTGCTGTCTTTCTGGAGGGTCGATGGGCCTGTCCTCTCTCCTGCCACAGCCCTCCCTGATGCTGGGCTGTTCCACCAGCAAGTAGGAGGTCCACCAGGGAGCCCTGTGGTGGAGCAGAGAAAGACCTGGGCTCTGTAACCTGGGCCAAGGACTTTATCCTTCTGGGCCCCAATTTCCTTTTGTGTGAAGCGAGCAGCTCATGCTCATGCCCTCCACAGGGCTCTCCCTTCTCTGAGCGTCTGAGGGCCTTTGAAGTTCAGGGGGGCAGCTCTAGGTTAATGCAGAGCCAGCTTCTTGGTTGGCTGGCGGGGTTCTAGAGAGGCCCTGTATTCCGGAGCGTCCTGCAGGGCCCAGGGCTGAGCTGCCCCTCTGTCCCCAGGCTGACTGTGGAAGAGCACATCTGGTTCTACGCCCGCCTGAAAGGCCTCTCAGAGAAGTTTGTGAAAGCGGACATGGAGCAGATGGCCCTGGATGTCGGTTTGCCACCCAGCAAACTGAAAAGCAAAACCAATCAGCTGTCAGGTGAGGCCTAGAGCTGCCTTCCCTCCCCTCTCTCCTTTACCCACCCCTCCTCCTTTCCCCCCGGCTGTCCCTGAATGGTCTGGGTGCCTCCATTCTTCTCTCGCCGCTTCTGCCCTGCCTCACTGTCCTCAGCCTCCCTCTCTTCTGCTTACAGGGGGAATGCAGAGAAAGCTGTCTGTGGCCTTGGCCTTTGTTGGGGGATCCAAGGTTGTTATTCTGGACGAGCCCACAGCCGGCGTGGATCCTTACTAGTAGGCTGGGAGGGAAGAAGGGAGGAAGAGGCTTGAGAAGGATGGCCATAGCTAATGGCTGTTCTTGCTGGAGCAACAAAATTGCTTCTCAAGGAAAATGTGGAACTCATTTTCTGAAAGCTGTGCGCCCCCCTGTGTGTAGGGGGAGGTGTGGTTTATAGGATGCTTAAAGTTTACGCTTCATGACCTAGGGCTCTGCAAGAAGAAGGGAAACAGGATAAAGGGCATCTCCTTTGGGCTCCCACAGCCCCCACCACCATCTCTAGTAAAAATGTACCCACGTGTCATAACCATATCCCCTCTTGACTGAGGTCCCTGAGAGCAGAGGCTGTGTCCTTGTTCATCTCTGTCCCCAATATGGTGCATTAAATTTATGTTTGTTGAAAGAGTGGATGAATAAATGAGTGGATGCGGGAGGTGCAGGGGAATGATTGGCAGTCTGCTTAGAGATTTAGATGATACGTAAGGTTGCCACCTTATGGTTACAAGGAGGAGTACAGGCTTTGGAACCAGCCCTGGCTGGCCCTAAGGCCTAGGAAAAGCCATTTAACTTGCCCCAGTTTCTTTACCTGTGATAACAGTCGAGCCTACCCCATGGAGGATTACGTTAAAGGAGAATGCATGTAGACCACCTAGCACACTGTCTGGCAGGTCGTCTTCCCCAAATGTTCATTTTTATTTTTACGAGGCTGCAGTAGCTATGCCCACAGCTTAGTGGTCCTGGCCACCAGCCTGCCAGGTCTTACTCCCATGCTTACCCCTACTAACATTTTAGCTCTAGCCACTGCAGTGAGTGCACATCGAGAGGTCTCACCTGTCCCGTGTCCTTGTGTTTGCGCCGCAGGCCGCACCATCATCCTCTCCACACACCACATGGACGAAGCGGACATCCTGGGGGACAGGATCGCCATCATTTCCCACGGGAAGCTGTGCTGCGTGGGCTCCTCCCTGTTCCTGAAGAACCAGATGGGAACCGGCTACTACCTGACCCTGGTCAAGAAGGACGTGGAGTCCTCCCTCAGCTCCTGCAGAAACAGCAGCAGCACCGTGTCATATCTGAAAAAGGTGAGCTGCCGCCTCTGCTGGTGCGGGGGCTGGCGGGGGTCAGGGAGTCGGGACTTGCTGGCTGAGAAGGGCTTGTCTCCCTCTACCCCCTCCGCCAAGTTGGTGCTGTGGTTCCCTTGGAATCGCATCATCCCGCATACGTGGAAGGCTCGGGAGGCCTCTGTTCCTGTAGTGCGAGCTCCGTTGAATCCCTTTTGCATTTTCCTGTGGAAGCACGTGGGCTGGGTGATGGGGGAGGTCCTTAGAGGACTTCGTTATGTTGGAGAAACGAGACTTGCGCGGCTGCAGGAGGCCCTGCTGCTCCTGTCATGACTTTGCCATCGCAGTGACCTCACCTTTCAATCTGCAAAGCCGCTGTTTCCTGAGCACCGAGTTCACGCCAGGCACTCAGTCTAGCAGACTCTGAGCACAAAAGAGAATGATGGTGATAGTTCTTTGTAGCGTTTGCTGTTACTTACACATTTTTTTTAAAAAACGTCATCTCAAAGTGCAGAGTAACCCTGGGAATAAGATACTGTAATTACTGTCCACGATGAGGGAAGGGAGGCTGATAGTGGCTTGGTAGTTGATTCAAGTTCACCCAGCAGGTAAATAACGGAGGTGGGACCGGAACCCAATAACCAAGGACGTTTTCCTCTGGATCACAGTACATGCCTGAGATTCATTAATGTGCTGAAACCCGTGGCACCTAAAACCTTTACATCCCAACCTTGAGCTCCAGCCCACTTGCCTTTCATTAGCACCAGGTTATCCCAAGTGTGTTCTGAAAAACGTCCGCACTGGGATCACGTTCGGGAGCTAGTTAGAAATGCAGAAACTTGGGCCACCCCAGGACGGCTCAGGATCTGCATTTAATCATAGTGCCCTGGTGATTAGACACACATGAGAGCTTGAGAAGCACTGACTAGACATCTAGCCAGGTAACTCCCATGCTCAGCCGGCCGAGGGCCTGCTCACGGCACCCATTGGTGGCCATGGTTCTGTGGATGGCGCTGCATCCTGACATCCCACCTCCAGGAGGGCGGCCATCCCCACGGCACACATGTCGGACTGTGGCCCAGAAGCCTGGCCGCCCCGTTGCATGCCTCTCAGGAGAAGCTTTCCGCTCTAGTTCTCACACAGCCTTTAGGAGCCCTCCCTGGCGAAGGTGGTGGTGGCTGTGCCTTGCCCGGTCCCTGACCCATTCTCACCTCCTTCTTTGCCATCAGGAGGACAGTGTTTCTCAAAGCAGTTCTGATGCTGGCCTGGGCAGCGACCATGAAAGTGACACGCTGACCATCGGTAAGGACTCTGGGGTTTCTTATTCAGGTGGTGCCTGAGCTTCCCCCAGCTGGGCAGAGTGGAGGCAGAGGAGGAGAGGTGCAGAGGCTGGTGGCGCTGACTCAAGGTTTGCTGCTGGGCCGGGCCGGGCGGCTGTGGGAGAGGGTGCAGCTTGGTGGCGGGTTGGCCTCACGCTTGCTGGGAAGCCTGGAGCTTGGTCTGGGAGCTGACAGGGCAGGGCCTCAGGGAGCTGAGATGATTGGGGGTGAGGGGATCCCTTGGGGGGGTGGGCGGTGAATCTGACTGGACACTGGAGACCAGGGATGCGGAGCTCAGGGCCAAGCCACTGGGGAGGGACTAGAGCTCATGACCTAGGGAGGCTGAGAGCCCAGGAGATCGGGAATAGCCTGCTGGGTTTGCTCCGGATGTGTGTGTCGGGGAGGCCAGTGTCACCAATAGTGAGGATGCAACAGAAGCCTGTACCTCAACCCTCGCTGCCCAATCCTCATCACCAGCATTCTCCAGGGAGGAGACTCCTCCCATGGACTGTCTGATTAGGCTTCTATTGAGATAGATATAAGGATCTTTCTAGGGGGAGTTGAAGAATCTTTTCAAGTTTGTTTAGTCAAGTTTTCCACTGAAGAATCCTAGAGCGTAGGCAATAGAAACCAGGCTTTCAAGCTGAGTCATCCGTCCATCCACCCATGCACCCATGCACTGAACCTACGATGGACCTGGTTTTGGGGATACAAAGACATAGTTCTTGCCCCCAGGAACTCACGGCTAGAGATGAACATGTGGCATGACTTAGGGATCTGAGACAGGTGCAGTGCATGGCTAGTAGAGTTCTGAGGGGTAGGCAGAGGGAGAAGGCAGGCAATGGCCGGCCCTCAGTGTGGGGCCTCTGCTCTGGCTGAGCCATCTTTGTGGTTTGCTCCCCACAGATGTCGCCATCATCTCCAACCTCATCCGGAAGCACGTGGCCGAGGCCCGGCTGGTGGAAGACATCGGGCATGAGCTGACCTATGTGCTGCCCTACGAAGCTGCCAAAGAGGGAGCCTTTGTGGAACTCTTCCACGAGATCGACGACCGGCTCTCGGACCTGGGCATCTCCAGCTACGGCATCTCAGAGACGACCCTGGAGGAAGTAAGTTCAGGGCCCGGCCGTCAGAACAGAAGGGCCAACAGTGCGAAGGCCAGACACACAGCCTGCGTTTCCACTGGGAACAGGTTACCCTGGAACTGCTCACGGAGTCCTGAGGTCATTGGCGTCCGGGCAGTGTCAGCCCCCACGAACCCTTTAAGGTTGTAGTGGGCGATAGTGGGAAAGAAGTATTAGGATTGCTTCCTGGTGTGACCACGTCACGGCCATGCCTAGGAGGTGGCCGGCATTTATGGAAACTCTGTGCCAAGTGCCAAGCTTGGTGTCTTTTTTCTTTTCTTTTTTTAAGTCATTGCAACTCCATTGAACCATCATAGCGAGATGAGAAAGTAGACACTCAGGGATGCTGAGTGAGGATTCTTTTTTTTTTAAGTCATTGCAACTTCATTGAACCATCATAGATGATGGTGAAAGTAGACACTCAGGGATGCTGAGTGAGGATTTGAAAGGGGGTTTCGGGCTTCAGAGTCCATATTCCCTTTAGGGACACACATCCCAGGCCTTGAGGGCTGGAAGGGATATAAATTGTCTGGCCCAGGGACCCCCAAGCTTGACTGTGCGTCAGAGTCCTCTGGGGATATCATCGATGACCAGAATGCCCAGGCTCGGCTGCAGGGCTTCGAATCGGAACTTCCAGAGGGAAGGCCTTGCTGTCGGTGCTTCTGTGCCTGCTTCCGCGGCAGGGGCCTGTAGATCCGTTCGGAAGTCATTGGTCCAGTTCAGAGTCTCTTCTGGTGTCTGGAACTCTGCCACAGCACTTTAGGAGAAGGGAAACCTATCATCTCCTGATCGTTCTCTCCTGGATCCTGTCTCACGGCGCTAGCCCACTCCAAGAGTTGGGACCATACGCCTGGAAGAAGCCACTCGGCTCATTCTCTGTAGGTGGGGAACACATTTCTTCTGCTGCAGTGTCCTGAGGCTGTAGCTTTAATGTGAAAATCAGTGACAGTCCCACCACTGAGGCTGTGTTCTTCGGTAAAAAAGGCTTCTCTCCCAAGTGACTGACCAAGTGGCATTAATAAGCGAAGCTTCTCCTTCCTGTGTTTAGGGCCTAGCATACCATCCGATGATGTAATCATCACAGCGGCAGTGGCTGCCGTCATCACATGCAGCCTGTAATAGTCTCAATTTCTCTTACTTTTCAGATATTCCTCAAAGTGGCTGAAGAGAGTGGAGTGGACGCCGAGACCTCAGGTAACCCTCCGGGGGCTGCACACTGGGCTGTGCCTCCTGCAGGCTGCTCAGCTCACCGGGCCTAGGCCTTTCCCTTTGCATTGTTGTATGACATTCCTATCTTTCATGTATAAGTCCGTTACGGATGCGGAGAGTTGATTTTGTAAAAAGTAAAATAAAATGTGGGCATTCCTTCCCTTTGCCTTCAGATGGCACTTTGCCGGCAAGACGCAACCGGCGGGCCTTTGGGGACAAGCAGAGCTGCCTTCACCCCTTCACTGAGGACGATGCTGTCGACCCCAATGATTCCGACATAGACCCAGGTCCGTGTGGGCGAGATCTGTGTTCCACATCTTGAAACTCGCATGTTCCCTCGTGTGTTCGTCTCTGGGGTTATCTTTTGGTGGCCAGGATGGTAGATGCCTGCAGGGTCCCAAGGGAAGTGGGAAAATGAGAAAAGCCACTCTCCCTTTTCCAATGTTGCCCATGCTGTCCAGCCTGAAGGAGAAAGCCCACCCTCATCACTGCCTTCCCTGAGCTGGGGTCTTCCTCCCAGGATGCCCATCGATTCTCTGAGTCCATTTAGTATCTTTTCTGTGGAGTCCCAGTTTCTTGCACACCTCGGGTGTTGAGCTGTTGAATAAATCTTCTTTGAATGGGCGGATGATTTTGAAAGACCCAGAAGGGTGATTTTGCTTTTAGACTCAACCCGTGCCCTAGACTTAGATCTTTTGGATGAGTGTGTCTCCCTGAGTGTTTGGCTGGGATGGAGAAAGGGAGGCAAGAAATCAAGCAGATACTGGTAAGATGACAGTTAGGAAATCATTTGTTGAAGACGAGGATTTCTGTGGAATGTTTAAGAACAGAAACCTGTCTGGCTCTCCCTGCTCGTGCAAGTGTGTGACTCTCCTGCGCTCCCTGACTTCAGACACCGTCTGTACTTAGGTCACTTGACTGTGTCTGCCTTTTACCAAAAGTCTAATAGATGGGAGACAGATTGTCGTTGTGTGTCCTCAAGGGTGTCAGCCTGTGTTCACGGCCCGTTTCACAGAGTATTCCGTAAGCAATCGAGGATGACCCGATTCATCTGAACAACTGGCTGTAACACCCAGTCACGTGTGAACACGTCGCTTCACGGTCTCGGGCACCTTCATTTCCTGCTCTCATCAGATGAGAACAAAAGGCCGAGCCTGCTGTGGCTGCACACGTGGCCATCCTAACATCTTCTTGGATGTGAAAGTCCTTTACTCCTGACATACTTTCCCCTCCAAACTCAACCTCCAAGATGGTTCCTGCAGGTGCGGGAGGAAGGGGCACGGTGACGTCCAAGTGCTTCAGACGATAGGTGACCTTCATGTTGGCTTCTTGCAGAATCCAGAGAAACGGACCTGCTTAGCGGGATGGATGGCAAAGGCTCCTACCAGGTGAAGGGCTGGAAGCTCACCCAGCAGCAGTTCGTGGCCCTTCTGTGGAAGAGGCTGCTGATCGCCCGGAGGAGTCGGAAGGGATTCTTCGCTCAGGTGGGCAGTGCTGTTGCGGGCCCAGGTCTTGGGCTTCCTCACCCCTGAAGGCAGGAGAGCATCATGGCTGTGAGATGGGAGCTGGAGCCAGGTTGTCTGTATTTCCACCCAAGGGCTGCTTCTCCCCACTCACGTATCTGCTGGCAAGTTAGTTCTCCGTGCCTCAATCTCCTCATCTGTAAAATGGGTATACTAATAGTACCTGTGACATGGTTGTTGTGCTGAGCATGGGCCTCACATGAGTAATGACTGTATGTGTTTGTGTGTGTGTGTATTTATCATAGAGGAGAGCATAACTAGGACGGAGTTTTTCATAACTTGGGCGATGATAGGACTAGATGCACTTGACACATCAACTTATTGGAAACTTGGTTTTTCTCTAAATGATGCTTAACTGCAAACTGATAGGAAAGATTACCATTCGGAAACTTCTGATGGAGAAGCCTCCTTACACTGTTGTCTGCCCGGCAGTGCCTGCTTGGTGACTCACCTGGTTAGAGGGGAACATGATTGCTCTCTGGAGAAGGTGTCTGCAGAGACCCTTCCCAACAGACAGAGTGGGTGATGTAGAGTAAGAATTGAGCAGACGGTCCTGGATTTGAATTCTGGTTCTGCTGAGTGAACTCGGGCAGGTTTCTCCGTCTCTCAGCCTCAGTGCCCTTGTTTGTTGATTGGTGATAATGACACTACTACTTAGGGTTGTAATGATCATTAAATGAAGTCATTCTCTTTACAGTACTTTTCCATGGAATTACTCACTCAGTGATAATTTTTAGCATTGAAACCCCAGAACATTAAAACCATGGGTATTATTTGAATCTTTCAGTTCTTTTTTAAGGATAAATTTCTCAGGAATAAGTAGAAGGAGCTTAGAGTTTACTTATCTAAAGTATGCTAAAGTTGTTTTCAGAGAAGGAATGTAAAGTTTGAGGTGGTTGAGTAAGGATTTAGATAATTATACGTTTGAGGCCGTCGGGGAGACAGTGGCTGCTATTCCCTTTCAGTGGAGACAGTGTGGAGAGTGGCTTTTTAAATTTATTGTCACAATATGGGTCTGAATGGGTCAGCTAATCTCAGACTACAGATTATAAATGAGAAAACTGAGGCCAGAGGGGGAAGTGACTTCTCATGGATGCACTTGTAGGGACAGAACAGCTTCAGGTCTCTGGCTCCTGGTCCTTACTCTGAGCTGAGCTGGGCTCATGGCCCAGCGTGGTCTTCCCCAGGTTTTCAGGAGGCAGAGGGCAGGACCCAATGTTTTGAGTCACCCCGACGCATGACAACTGTTTACTCTCAGCTTGATGCCTCTGCCAGGTGGCCGTAGCCTCTGGCCTTGTGTTTCCAGCTTCCAGGGATGCCCTGGAGGGAAGAGGTTTAATGTTCAGGGTCCGTGCTTCCAACCCTCCGACAGTGCCTTGGTGGAATCTGGCCATGGGCCTTTCACTCCTCACCTGCGTGCCAGCTGGTCTGGGAGGCTTGTCCCATGGCTGCCTTTCTAACACTTGTCTTCTACGGTTTTCCTTCCCTCTCCTTCCCCCCGGTTATAGATTGTCCTGCCAGCTGTGTTTGTCTGCATTGCCCTGGTGTTCAGCTTGATCGTGCCACCCTTTGGCAAGTACCCCAGCCTGGAACTTCAGCCCTGGATGTACAACGAACAGTACACATTCGTCAGGTATGTGTTTGCCTTCTGCGCCCCAGGAGAGAGGAAAGCTCGAGCAAACCACGGTGTCTGCTCTGCGGAGGGCGGGGGGAGGTGGGCTCAGGAATCACACCATGGAAAATAGGCTGTGGCTGAAGGAATAAGCCAGTCGGTCCCCTGCTGCCACATTTGCACTCCTTTCCTCTTCCTACTGCTGTTGTCAGGAACAGGCGTGCGTTTTATGTAAATGATCTGCCCTTGCAAACAATCTAGGATGGAGCTATACTGTGTCTGGATTTTCATTTTGTGGTTTAACACAGGGCTTCCAGACACTGTCAACGCTCTTGTTTTTTGCACACTACAATGGGTGCATTCACTACCTAGACTTTTTAGTTGTGGATAGTAGCTATTGTCTGTGCTTTGGACAAAAATACCAGCTACTCTATAACAATCCAGTGCTTCAAACAAAAGGACCAAGGGATTTCTCCATCTCCTTACACAAGGATTTTCTTCAGTCCTCTCGTAATTGTAGACAGGTAGATCTCAGAAGCAGTCAAGCCGTAGATCTGTTTCAGTGATGTAAAAGAGTTGCTGTATTTAAAAAAAAAGACAGAAAAAATACGTAAACATGGGAGTCGGTCTTTCTTTCTGTGACCCCACCTTCCTGCCTAGTGCAGGTGACTTTATTCTTTCCTCTCCCAGCTGCTGACCCCGATTGCCTGGGGCTGTGGAGCGTGGACTGTCTTTGTGTTTGTAACCTGAGCCCATTACTGTTTGTGTGATCCCAGTGTCCGTGCAAACATGCAGCCAGTAAAGTCCGCCTCCAGTAATATCCTGGCTCTCTGTACCTCCTGGGTAATTGTGGAAGTATTTTTGAAATACGGATCCTTAATGAATTCATTTACTTTTTGCTAAAATATGTATGTCAATGTGTATAAGTATGTGTGTATATACATGTGCACGCACACATACGCACACCTCTGTACATAGGGTTTATTTACACAAGCCCCACTTTGATATCAAGTATATGGCTCGAGTCTGAGCTCCTGGTGGGTGGGCTCTGTTTTATTCATTGCTGTTTTAAGAGCTTGGCACACAGGAATTACTTAATAAAGCATTTGTTTTTAAAAAACTTCCTCCTTCAAATGTATGGTTTTAATGAATCGCTGAGCTGGCTGCCTCTTCTGTTCCCATAGTAACGACGCTCCCGAGGACATGGGCACCCAGGAGCTCCTGAATGCCCTCACCCGAGAGCCCGGCTTCGGGACCCGCTGTATGGAGGGGAACCCTATCCCGTGAGTGCCCTTCAGCTACGCCACCCTCCGCTCTGGTTTCCTGTGCTCGCCGCCTGGTTTGGTCTCGAATGCACTGCATTTTTTATCCGTTGTATGCCACACTGTGACTACCATCGTTTGCCCTTTGAACCATTTTGTTTTTAATGTTTAAAAAGCTGATATAGTAATCTAATAAGACCATCTAGGAACATACATAACAGACTAGGAGAATATTCTAACATCCTGCAAAGCAAATTACTGCAGGAGTTTGTTTACTGCTTTATAAATGAGTATTTAATTTAAACAGCACTTTATACTTACTGCTCCAATGCTTTTCCTTCCCCCCCCCCTCCTCCTGTACCTAAGTGCAGAGATAGGCTGCCAATATATAGAATTTGCAGTTTTGCTTATCAGCTTCTTGACTTTAACAGCTGAAAAAGTGATGGAGTTTTTTTAAAAGTTGACATTTTCTTCTTTTAGAGTTGCCTATTTTTATTGTATTCTCTTTCAAAATCCTTGAAGAAAAAGAGGTGGTATGTAGATAAACTCTCTTAAAGACCCATAGACGAAGTAGGTATGTGGGGAAGGTACATCCAGTGATGGTTGTGAGTGAAGACAGTGGACAGAGGTGAGCTTCTGGGAGCCCAATGAGGGGAGAGGTGGTTCCAAGTTCCCAGGCTCAGGTAGAATTTGCAGGTAAGGTTGTTAGCCACAAACTGAGGAGTTGTGGAGAGTGTGGGAAGGTGCAGAAATACTGGGAAAGGGTTAACTTAAACCCCAGGTTTTAAAGGGCAGATACAGACCCTGTCAGAGTCACAGAGCAGTGAGTGTGATATCTGGGTCTGCAGGGTTTTGGAGCAGCTTCTAGCGATGGTGTACCTGTTATCTCTTATTAATTGGATACTTACTAAATGTTTGTTAATACTTAATGGGTGGTAAATCCTAGCAGCCAATATCATCAGCTCCTAAAGAAGAACATGACTAAAGTGGAGAAGGACAGAGAGGCATCCTATCTGGATGTCATGATTCTTTTGAGGAGACTGCACTTGACAGTTTTGTAGGCGAGATAGAAGAATGAGAGGAGATGGTGATAGAGGTGGATGGAGGCAGCACCTGCCAGCTGAGCAGCGTGGACTCAGTGCCAGCCTGAGAAGCTCGTGGGAGCCAGTTCTGGGTTGAGGTCTCGCCAACAGCACAGGAGAGGCAGGGCCCCGACATCAGAGGGCTCCCCGCCGTGAGGCCCAGCACCATGGAACGTGTGTTGGGGGCAGTCAGTAGAAAGTAGTGGAACGGAGGGACATTTGATGGGGACACTTCCCTGGGGCCTCAGCCACTCGTGTGCAGGTTTTAGGAAGGAAACTCAGGAGGGAGCCCTGGCTTCCATGGAAGTCTCCATTTCACTGGGGCACCTTACAGAGAGCTAGAGAGCAGTCCACAGAACCGTTCATTTGGTCGGTGGCTGTGCTTTAAATTGTAGAAGTTTGGAACTGGAAGGGATAGGAAATGACTTGTTGAAATGTGACTTATTGAAACAAGTCATTCTATATTTTTATTTTACTGTTGGAGAAAATAAGCCCTGAGAGGGCAGGTGATGTGTTGTTGATCTCGCAGTGATTCAGAGCTCAAGTCAGGCATGAACAACCCAGCTCTGCATGTACCAATCGAGTTTTGAAACATAAAGTGAATCTTGACATTGTCTACAAATTATCAGCACATTGAGCATAAAACTGAGACCCCTTCCCAGGCCTGTGTCATCCGGCTCCTGCCTCCTTCTCTGCCTCATAGGCCACCACGTTCCAGCCACACCGTCCTCCTGCTGTTCCTTCCACAGGAACCTCAGGGCCTTTGTACCTGCGCTTCCTGCTGCTTCTGGTTGTCACATTCTGTCCCTCCAAATCTCTCCCTGGCCCAGCCTTTATGTTCTGGTCAAAGTGGATCACCTCTTCATGCAGCTCCTTTCCTATCAGTCATGCTCCCTTATCTTGCTACATGTTTTCCCATTTAAGATGGCATTTAATCATCATCTAACTCTTCGATGGGAACACAAACTCCATGAAGGCAGGGACTTTGTCTTGTTCACTCCAGACTCTCAAATATGCAGAAGAGTGTCTGGCACAGAGTTGATGCTCATTGAGTGTTTTGGAGTGAACACGTGGGTGAGTGACTGAATGCTGGTGGGTTGGATCGACTGGAGTCCATATATGAGCATCTGGGCCCTCTTTGCATTCCATTGTCCATATCTGTGAAGTGAGCTCACAGCTTACACGTCTTTGGAGGGACCCCGTGCCCCTGAGGTGACAGGAAACCCAGGCCCTCTGGGTGACCTGGCCTTGCTGTCCTCCCTGTGCAGAGACGTGCCCTGCTTGGTGGGAGAGGAGGAGTGGACCACGGCCCCCGTTCCCCAGACCATCACAGACCTCTTCCAGAACGGGAACTGGACGATGGAGAACCCCTCACCCACCTGCCAGTGCAGCAGCGAGAAAATCAAGAAGATGCTGCCCGTGTGTCCCCTGGGGGCCGGGGGGCTGCCTCCTCCACAGGTGAGTCCCTCCCAGGTGTGACTGAGCAGGCAGGGGCGCAGGGTGGGCTGGGGAAGAAGGGCGGGGTGACAGAGCAGGAGGGTCTCTTTCAGTCTTGATCTTCGTTCTTGGCACAGGGAAAAGCATGTGAGTTTTGAGGGGAGGAAGCTTGAACCACCTTATTCCTACATCTGAATGAGCTCAGCCTGTTCCTTTATTTGGAAGAGATTTGTTTGCGTTAAAACCAGAACACAACCCTCTGGACCAATGGGCTACGGGAGATGCACGGTGCCCTCTCTGAGTGGGGGTGTCACAGGACAAGCCCTGCTTTGTCCCCGGCTTGGCCTTAGGGCGGCTGGCCCATCACTGTGTGAGGGTCTTGTTGAGTCTGACATTCTCTACGAGTCTGAGCATGGGACGCAGTTGTGATCTATTTTTTTTCTGAGAACAGTTTTGGGTTGAGGCGTGCTTGTGAAAACTGCTGCTTTATCGGCATCCAGGCTGCGGGTTCCGGTTACGTCTTTCTAAAATAATAGCTAATCTATTCATCCGTGTGACACCACTGAACAAAGAGCTCACCAAGCATAGTCAGTGATGCTGCTCCCTAAAGACCTTTGTGACTATGAAGAATAGATTGTACAGTCTGTGGTTTCCAGAATAATTTCCTGGGGAATTTTTTGGAGTGCCTTACGTGTACGGCCAGAGTCAGGGGTAGAATGAATCCGGCTTTGGTGGCTGGCTTGGGGTACCTGGGCATTGTGGGCAGGGTCTTGTGGTGTGTTTCTGAGGGACATGTGTCAATGTAGTCCTTGATTTGCTTCTCGTCTCAATTCTGGTCCATAAAAGCACATGTGCTTGGTTTTTCTGTAACAACAGAGAAAGCAGAACACGGAGGACATCCTTCAGAACCTGACGGGGAGAAACATCTCGGATTACCTGGTGAAGACATACGTGCAGATCATAGCCAAAAGGTCATTCTTTGCTAAACTCAGTCCTTGCTCTGTCATGACTTATCAGAGGAATTTAAGACCTAAAGATAGTAGACCGAGCAGTGGGGGAGACATCATATTTTTACCCGATGTTGTCTTGGAAGCTTAGAGTGCTCTTCCAAAGTAGACAAGATGAGAAGTATTATGAACATTCGGGTTGACAACTCACCAAGCATAGATTGAGTTTGCCTGGTTCCAGAATGAAAAGAAATCGGGGTTCAAATTCTAATTCTGCCACCTCCTAGCTCTTTGACGAATGGTAACTGGTTATCCTTTTAAATCCTCAGTTGATGTCCAAGGTGAAAGCAGTGCTGCTCATATGAGTTGTTGTGAGGACTGAATGATATACATATATATAAATACCCCTCATGGGTGGGATGCATGGCAGCCTGGGCCATAGAGTGGGGAAGAGCCATGGAGCTTCCTGGGGCCTCGCGGCCTAACGCTGACTACTTAGCTCAGGGGCAGGGAACCTTCTTTCTGCCAAGGCCCATTTGGATGTTGATAACATCCTTCAGTCACAGGCCATACAAAATTATCAACTTAAAAATGAGCCTGTTATATTTAGCTAAACATTTTTAATTGACTCGCTGCTTGGTGGTCAGGGCCTTGATAGGGCCAGACCAAGTGATTCTGTGGCCTTCCATGGCCCACAGGCTGGATGCTCCCCACCCCTGATGGACCCGCTGCTCCTTCCCACTGCTTTGGTCAGCTGGGCCTCTCGGAGTTCTCAGTGGCTCTAAATGACAAGGGTGTGCTTGAATGACAGCCACTGTGAGTTTCCAACAAAGAGGCACAACCTCTCCCTATGTCATCCCTAATTGGTGTATGACTTTGAATTTTAGACGTTTCTAGTTTGATTACATCTTTGTCTATAAGTTGGTTTCTGAATTGGTTTAATCCGAGGCATGGTTTTCATGTACATAAGATTTTAAGAATGGGAGGAAAAATGACATGCCGATTAGGGCTTCTTCCCATAGGCAAAAACCTACACCATCAGCTTGATCCTGGGATTACTTCCGTCCCTTCGTTGTGTCCCCAGATAGAGATTGACTCCCTTTGTGTCATCAGGAATAGGATCCGTGTTGCACTGAACTGACTTTTGGTTTGTCTCTGGTCTCTGCAGCTTAAAGAACAAGATCTGGGTGAACGAGTTTAGGTGAGTTGACCTCTTCCTGTGCTTTCCCCGGACCTCCTGTCGGTCAGGAGGGTGGTTCTGATACAGGAATCGTGGGCCCCGGGAAGTTGTTAGGTTTGGGATGGTGTTGCCCTCAGTGTTGCTGCTCAGCACCAGCTGCCACTGCAGATGCATGTGAACGCTGGGCACACTGATCTCCTCAAGGAGGCATAGAGACTTTTCCTGGTGCGATTTAACAGGAAGCACCATGTTGTGAGGGGAAAACCTACGCCAGCTACACTTTGCCCCCAAACCAGATTCCCAGGGGTTCTCTTGGATGAAATAAGACGAATCAACACCATATACTCTCACTGTATTTCAACCCATCTATCCCTCTGGGATTTGAAGGAACAGGTGGGATCAGGGAAGAACAGAAGGAAGAGTTGTTGAAGCTCATTAACATCTTATAAACAATGGGCTACTTTATGTGGCTACCCCACAAGGTGGCTCTTTGACACTGCTTTCCATTTCTCCCTACCTTTTTCCTGAGGGCCAGGCCCCACAGAACTGTGAACAGAGCAAACTGGGGCGCCTCCAGTTGTCCTCATGCTAGGAACAAGCCCAGGCCTCTGGGCTCGTTATAGTAAACCTCTGGCCTCTCGGTTAGTGTCCTCACTCCTTGTCCTGACTTCCCATCTGCTCGACTTTTTTATTATTTTATTTAAAAATATTTTAATATATATTTATTGATTTCAGAGAGGAAGGGAGAGGGAGAGAGAGATAGAAACATTAATGATGAGAATCATTGATTCGCTGCCTTCTGCAGGCCCCCTTCTGGGGATGGAACCCACAACCCAGGCATGTGCCCTAGCCAGGAATTGAACAGTGACCTCCTGATTCATAGGTCGACACTCAACACTGAGCCACACTGGCCGGGCCCATCTGCTTGTCTTGAGACCCAAGTTCAGGCCTGAGCACTAGGGTGGGAGGAGCTGCTTCTGTCTATAGCAGCTGTGGGCAAACTACGGCCTGCAGGTCGGATCCGGCCCGTTTGAAATGAATAAAACTAAAAAAAAAAAAGACCGTACCCTTTTATGTAATGATGTTACTTTGAATTTATATTAGTTCACACAAACACTCAATCCATGCTTTTGTTCCGGCCCTCCGGTCCAGTTTAAGAACCCATTGTGGCCCTCGAGTCAAAAAGTTTGCCCACCCCTGGTCTATAGTCAGGCCCAGACCCTTCCTACTTGGGCAGGAACCTAAGGGTAAGGAAAGAGATTGCAGGAATCCACTAGAGCAGTCCAGTGGTAACTTCCTCTCGGTCCTGCTTTGAAGAAGCAGTTCGCCTGCGGGAAACACGTGGTGTCCAGGGTCCCGTGCCCTGTGCTGCCTGTGTCTTAACCTCAGGCTGTTCTTCCAGGTACGGCGGCTTTTCCCTGGGTGTCAGCAATTCTCACGCGCTTCCTCCAAGTCAAGAAGTTAACGATGCCATCAGGCATATAAAGAAACACTTGAATCTGGCCAAGGTACGGTGTCCCTCCCAGGACATGTCAGAAAGGGGCCCAGAGCTGCTGGTACAGGGGAGCAGTTGGCAGGGGCATCCGATCACTGAGCACCTCCTTGTGTAAGACTTGAGTACATAGTCGTCTTGAGTAGTTAGGGTCTTGTGCCCGCCAACAGTGAGCTGGGACTCAGTGACCAGTTAGGATCTGAAAGTGTTCAATGGGTGTTAGGACTCACTAAGCATTCACTTCATTTCTCTATGCCTGAAATTTCCCATTTTTAATTAAGAATTGAGGGGGTCAGACGATGGGGGACGCTGGGATCACAGATGCAGGGATAGTCCTTGAGACTGTATCTCTGTTTTGAGGCCCAGACCCCACGAGGGTAGCCCTGAACCCTAGGATGACACCAGGGGAACATTTTTGAAGACTCCCCACCCCTGAGGTAGAGACAGACGTGGGAGTCTTGGGACTTTGAATCACAGGCCTTGCCAGTGGTTCCTTCGAGACTCGTGGCTCATGGCAACAGCGGTGCTTTAGATTTCTGGTGGCTTCAGCTTTCATTTTAATGAACAAGGTAATCACGGTGCCCGTCCTAAGGTTGTCCTGCTCCTGCGAGCCGTCTGAGCTGAGGCAGGTTCTGTCGTCCACAGGACAGCTCTTCGAATCGATTTCTCAGCAGCTTGGGAAGGTTCATGACAGGACTGGACACGAAAAACAACGTCAAGGTAAAGCCCTTTGTTCAGTAGCTTCTTGATGCACAGTAACCCTGTGTTCAGCTCCTGAGCGCACTGATGGGGTAGGCATGACAGAGAGAGCAGTCTAGTAGCCTCACCAGCGAGGACGTGCAATGCAGTGATTCAGAGAGTTTGCTTTGCCCCCAGACACAGCAGGCGAACCATTGTGACCCTGACCAGACAGATTACTTGTCCTCTCTAAGCCTCAGTTTCCTAACCTCTACTATGGAGACAGTACTCAGGCTCTCTCAAAGCCGTGATGAAGATTAAATGAGTTAAACATAGAGGGTAGCCGGCACCTTGCCTGGCCACACGGTCAGTGCTTGGTACACCTGCTTCGCCACATTCTCTGACCATAATGTTTTGTCTTGGTGCGTGACTGGGATTCCTGAAACTTACAGGCGTGTGTGTGTGTGTGTGTGTGTGTGTGTGCGCGCGCGCGCACCTACCTCCAAGAACAGGGTTTGGGAGCGTTACCTTGTACCTCTGTATTTTATTTCAGGTGTGGTTCAATAACAAGGGGTGGCATGCCATCAGCTCTTTCTTGAATGTCATCAACAACGCCATTCTGCGGGCCAACCTGCAGAAGGGGGCGAACCCCAGCCAGTACGGGATCACTGCTTTCAACCACCCCCTGAATCTCACCAAGCAGCAGCTCTCAGAAGTGGCTCTGTAAGTAGCTATGTCTCCATGGACCAGGTGGGGGCAGGAGAGGGTGTTGAGGGTAATGGAGGAATGGAGGAAGGAACCCTGACACTGGTTGTGTGTAACAGATGGGGAAACACTTATATTAGGATATGTCTGGTTTGGTCCAGGCTCTGGACAGAATATGATCAGGTTAGGAATTGGCTGGCAGGGATTAAAGTGCCCAAAGATAAATAAATGACTCATTTATGTAAATACCATTACATTTAGTGGATTCATGTGAGTTAAGTTGCTAATAACATCCCCCAAATATTGTAACTCACCATAAATACAGTGTTTAATAAAAAAAGCAGAAGCCCATCTTCAGCTGTCTTTCGCTGGTTTTAAACTTGGTGAAACATGCTTTTATCAGCTTGTGTTTTTAATTCCTGAGTTGTGTGTAAGTGTGCGAGGTTAAAGCCAGTACACACTAGGCAAAGTGTAGATAGCCTTTGGAATTGTGGAGATCTGGGTTCTAGATGTATGGTGTTAAACGAGACAGTTCATGTAAGTTGCCAAGTTTAGCATTTGGTTTATATTCAACACATGTTGGGTCCCTTTCCAGTACAAGGGGCAAGGCACAGTTATTATTTTTGCTTAACTTGTATAAAATATCAATATATGTCACTGGGATCTTTATACCAAGCTTATATAACATTTATATGTATAATTTATATTAAACCCTGTTTATTGAACTTATAAGGCCACTCTTCTTACAAGCATCTGATAGATGTGTTAGACTGATAGGCCACACACTGTTGTTTTCAAATTTATTTACAGCCAGAAATGAAGTTATTTGAATGGTTTCACACTAACATTTCTGCTTTATTTAATTTTCAATCTACACTTGTCCTTTGTGAGTGAAAACTCACAACTCATTGCTCTTATAAGGTCATTAGGCCACTCTGACCCCCATTAATAGTTCATTATGACACTGGCTCTTTGTAACTTCAGTGGAATCAGTTTTGCATTTGAGTTGTCAGGTTTGGGGGGGTGGGGTTGGTTTGCTTTGTTTTATTCTTTTTTACTTGAAAATAATAATTATTAGCCCTGAAAAAAAAATTTGGTGAGCAGGTTATTTTTCCCCCGGGCTATGCTCAGGTGTGTGTGTGTGTGTGTGTGTGTGTGTGTGTCCATGTCCATGTATCCTCCTGATGGAGTCTTCAGTTGCATCAGTGGCCCCTCATGTCCTCACTGCCTCTTTTTCAGGATGACCACATCGGTGGATGTCCTCGTGTCCATCTGTGTTATCTTCGCCATGTCCTTCGTCCCAGCCAGCTTTGTCGTGTTCCTGATCCAGGAGCGGGTCAGCAAGGCGAAGCACCTGCAGTTCATCAGCGGGGTGAAGCCCGTCATCTACTGGCTCTCCAATTTTGTCTGGGACATGGTAAGGGCGCCGCCGTGCCACTGTGTGTAAATCTCCAGTGGGACCATGCGTGGATGACAGAGCCCCTGGCTCTCGTTACGATGTCCTTGCTCATCTAAAGACGACTGAGAGAGAAAATGACAGAGGCATTGTAATTAAGTACAATGTACTTAAGGAGCATTGAGTACAGTGCCCATCCCACACTGGAAAGGAAATCTGTCCGCTCTGACGGCAGTTAATATCACCACCACCTAATTCCTAATGCAGAACTTGTCAAAGAGACATGGACAGGGAAGCCAGTCCAAACTCCAATGCCTGTAACCTGTCTGAGAGGGTTGAACCTCCAGAGTCAGGATGTTCTTTGTCTTACGAGGAAATCTGTCATTTGAAATCTCAGCACATTTTACCTGAAGCGTATCCATTTATTGCAAACACGTTTTCATGCCAGCTACAATGCATTGCTTTTGTTCAGACCAATATGGAGGACTTCAAAGAAGTTCCAGTTCTCAGAAAGTGGAGTTGAAATAGATCTCCCTCTGAGTGCCATTAATTGTAAGCCATACAGAGCACATGTAATGCTTCTCCCACCGGATAGCCCCTCCAATAAGAAGACAACTTTCACTGAACCTAAGTCTTCCCCAGATAAGATGATCTACCAGGACACATTTTGTAACCTCTAAAGCACAGTACCCGTGTGAGTGATGATGATGCGCAAGCCTCTCGGACTTGTCATTCTTGATTGACTGCCTTTGTGTGGCCATGCTCCATATTGTTAATGTCCCTTTTGAAAAGTGAAACCCAGAACTAGCCTTGTGTGCAGGCTGCGGTCTGAGTGTATGAGCCTAGAGGGAGTTGATCTGTATCCCTGACTTTATTACACAACCCAAGGGCATCGCGTTTTGGAAGTAGCACTGTCTTGGTGGCCATTGGGTAGTGAACTGAAATCTCTAGTTGACAGGTGTTACTAAATGGGCCTCTGTCCCTCTGTACCAATGCAGTTGACTTTTTTGAGCCCAAACGTTATGTTTATCCCTGTTAAACTGCATTTTGTTTAGTGTCCATTTGCTTTTATCTTGATCCAGTAATTACTTTATTCATTCTGAGTGCTCACGCGTGTCTGACTCCACTACACACAGGAGCTTCAGAGTGAAAGACCAAGTCCTGAACTCAGGAATGTCACTCCCCTTCCTGTGTGTCATCTGTCCCTCCTATGCTTTCGAGCCTCTAAAGTTTGCTCTAATCGCGTCTCCATCTAAGTTGTTGGTAAACACATTGAGTAGAATGAGACTGAAGCAGAGCCTTGTGGTCTGAAGCTACAAGTTCTTACAGCTGACAAGCCCGCTCTCCTATCCCTCCCGTGCTCTGTTCTGCCAGCCAATAATTCTCACAATTGTCTCGTGGTCAGGTCTTTATTTGTGCATTAAAAAATTATTTTTATCTTTCTAGAGAATTTTTATAGGAGTTTAATTGTGTCAAACTGACATGACATACGCTGGGACTCCAGATCTCAAGGGCTCCCTACTTGTGCATTTTAATTCTTGATACTCTGTCAGGTCAGACTCTAAGATTATCCTCAGTGTGATGAAGCAATTCTGACATTCACGTTAGAAGCACTTACCTCATAAATAGATTATATGTGAGATTGAACTTGGGCAGACTGTAACATGGCATTAATGATGAAGCCGACACAGTCATCTCTGGGAAGAAGAATGGAAGCTTATTTGCTGCCTGGGAAACTGAAATTACTCTGACTGGGGAACCATCGTTCAGTAAGTTTACTGAGCGTGACACCTTGGCTCAGCTCTGGGAAAGACAGCAAGGGCATTCAGTTTATAAAATCAGCCAAGGGTAAACGCTTGTCAAAATGTATTGTTCAGTGTATTGATTAGTAGTTTAGGTGGCTTTATTAATTCAGAGTTATTCTCCAGTATGTGAACTGCCCTTTCTTGTCCGACGATAGTGAACACTTGGGATGTACTGTATCTTTGACGTAGGGACGAACTTGATTTCCTTGTTTCACTTTCAGTGCAACTATGTGGTCCCTGCCACGCTGGTCATCATCATCTTCATCTGCTTCCAGCAGAAGTCCTACGTGTCCTCCACCAACCTGCCTGTGCTAGCCCTCCTGCTCCTGCTGTATGGGTAAGGTGCCCCTGGGTGGCCGGCAGCAGTGGGTGAGGTATACGGTGCCCAATGTCAGAGGGAAGGCAGGGGGCACCCAGTGGACATTGGTCTCTGTGCCTCCCCAGGTGGTCGATCACACCGCTCATGTACCCCGCCTCCTTCGTGTTCAAGATCCCCAGCACCGCCTACGTGGTCCTCACCAGCGTGAACCTCTTCATCGGGATCAACGGCAGCGTGGCCACCTTCGTGCTGGAGCTCTTCACCGACAACGTGAGTTCTGCAGGGAGAGCAGCTGCGCTGGGCTGAGCATCTCCGGGAGCCGGGACAGTGTTTAATCATGATCCCACTCCACGTGTCTGTGATATCACACCACCCACCGCTCTGTCCTGCATCCGGTTCTTTCTTCCTCGGCTTGCTTTTCCTTACATTTCTCTCATCAAACCTGACCGTTTCCTTCGCCAAGTTCTTTTATACTCCTTTCTGCCTACATGTTGCTTTTCCCATCTTTTTTCACCTTCCATCTTTGCTCTCCACTTCCGGTGCCGTCTCTGGCTGGTGCCATTCCTTCCGGAGGCTCTTACCAGCATCTCTCTCGGTGCTGTGTGTTGTTCTCTCTCAATTCTGTGCCTTTAGCCCCGAAGGCTCCCTGGAACTCTAGTCTTGCATTCTCACTTGCCTGGTGCAGAGCTCCATCTCCATTATTTACAGATACCCCAGGCTCGACATGTCCTGATTATCTTTCCCCCTAGAACCTATTGCTTCTCTGCCTTTTCCTGTCACACTGGGTGGCGTTGCCATCCACCCAGTCCCCCGAGCTGGCGACATTTGAGTCATCTTATGTGCTTTGCTTTTGTTTATTTCCCACATTCGACTGGTTACCGTGTCGGGTCTTCCAGTTACAGATCCCGTAAAGAAGGGTCCCTGTCCATTCCTGTTGTCCCCTTGGTCCAAACACCTGAACTTGGCACATCGGACCTTCCAGAGGTGCATCCTCTTCCCCAAAAGGCTGCAGTCGTGGCTGAGTTGCTCCTTGAACCCTGTGGGCCTGGCTTAAAATCCCTTCCTCTGTCCCAGGGGCCCCTAGCATCTGACTGACTCATCCTGCTTGAGCTCCGATGGGGAGCTTTCTTTTCCTGCCCGATGGGAGGTGCTCCCAGAGCTCTCAGTTCATGCTCCGTACAACACATACCCAACTGTGTAGTAACTTCCTGTTTCTTGTCACTCTTCCTCAGAACAAGGACTATTTCTTACTGACCTTGGCCTGCCCTGGGCCCTAGCACGTGCATCCAGCACATAGCAACGTACTCAGTTGTTTGATAGCTGGCTAGTGCTGGCTCGATGTGTTCAAGAAGAATTGTTTAAATGACCACAAAATCCGGGAACTGAACTCTTGATCCAGATGTGAGCAGTTGGCTTTTAAAATGCTAAGCAAATATTTTGGTGGATTTGCTTCTGATGAAACATAACCATGTTTCCCAACTTTGCTCATATTTCTCCATACTCATAGGATCATTCCAAATTTTCTAGAGAGCAAAAGTTTTATTAAGTTGCATATCATCAGCTACGGCTGCTGCTAGTTACCGGGATCTGAAATCAAAGGCTCAGCTCGACCTCAGGGAACCAGATGTCTTCTCCACGCTCATACCTCTGACCTTGATACGCTTTTAACTTAAACCGCCAATGACATTCAGTCTCCCTCTGTCTTATTTTTTATTTTTTAGAAGCTGAATAACATCAATGATATCCTGAAGTCTGTGTTCTTGATCTTCCCGCACTTCTGCCTGGGACGGGGGCTCATTGACATGGTGAAGAACCAGGCCATGGCTGATGCCCTGGAGAGGTTCGGTGAGTGCCAGCAGTAGTCGGAGGCCTTTATTAGAGGTGGTGGCATGCATGGGCCTTGCGACTCTGGCCTTTGTTTTGGAATGAGGCTGGTGACGGGGCACAGGACTCACCACTCCTGACAGGGCTGGAAACAACACAGCTGGTTGTGGCATGGGTCTTGTGACAGGACCATTTGTGCCTGAGAAGTGAGAGGGCTATTCCGGAGGTAGGGAGAAGACTGCCTTCAGCTTGAATCCAGTGCCTGATGCCACTGGTTGGGATTGTCAAAGTCCCTGCAAAAGTCAAACCAGAGCCTTGAGAATGTGGTACACAGGCAGCGAATCCCAAGGAAAGATGCAAACTCGGGCTCATTAGGACAAGCATGGGTCTGGGGCCGTGGCCGTACGTTAGCTCTCACATAGTCTATAGTATAGCGAATTACTGCAGCTCTTTCTTCCTTATGGTCTTTAATAGTATTTGTCCTGTGGCCACATCACTATTCTTTATCCACTGGCTCCTGTCAGTTAGATGGGTCATATTATTTAGGACAGAGACTTTTTTTTTTCCAATTTGGAGGTGCAAAGGAGATGTTTAAGGAATTTAAAGCAATATTTATATAAAACCAGGTGATTTGATTGAGTCACTAGGTTACATTACATGCTACTGAGAGGGGCATCTTTCTAAAGTGCTCTCTAATCTTTCTTTGGGGAACTTATAATCTGTTAAAATACTGACGGTAAAAATTACCCTGGACTGTTGCCTTCTTACAAAGGATTTTGGCATCTCGTTAAAAAAGAGACATCACATGTCTTAGATGATGCTACAGATCTAATACACATTTTGCTCTGAAACTTGGATCGGTACTGAATCGCAGTATGTTTCCCCCAGACTTCCCCTAAATCAGGCTTGGGCAGTGGTCACTCCCTTATGTATTTTCACCTTGTCATGGGGGACACCCATTGGTGTTCCCAGGACGAGGAGTGAATTTGAGGAAGGGCTGTGGTCTCTGGTGCTTCCATTCTGACTGGACCTCTGCGTTGTGTCTACCAGGGGAGAACCGCTTCGTCTCGCCACTCTCGTGGGACTTGGTGGGACGAAACCTCTTCGCCATGGCCGTGGAGGGGGCGGTGTTCTTCCTCATCACTGTTCTGATCCAGTACAGATTCTTCATCCGGCCCAGGTGAGCTTTTCCTCAGAACTCTCGGAGCCCCCGATTGAGGGTCACAGAGAAGCACCGGGAAATACTTGTCAGTGGCGTTTAGATTGAATTGAACTCAGAGCAGATGATCAAACTGTGTTTCCAAAGTGGACATCCCCAGCCCCCAACACTGCCAGTCCTGGGAACTGGAGAGTAGATCTTGTAGGACTGCTTTAGAAATGATCTTTCTCTTGAAAAATCGCTGGAAAGGTTGACTTTTCTCAATGCTCCCCCCTAAGACCTGTGAATGCAAAGCTTCCTCCTCTGAATGATGAAGACGAAGATGTCAGGCGGGAAAGGCAGAGGATTCTCGACGGGGGAGGCCAGAATGACATCTTGGAAATCAAGGAGCTGACCAAGGTGAGGCGGTGAATACAGGCTGTGACAGCTTGTCTGTAACGGTTTCAGCTTTAATGCGGGAAACTAGCTTCTTGGTGACGTGCTTAGTAAAAGGAGCGTGTTCTCAAAATGCGCATCTATACCCAGCTTCTGTCAACTTAACTTTATCTAAAACACACCATGGGGCCTTCTGCATTAGAGAATACCTTTGTAATGCGCATGCTCATTCTTGAGTATATTTATTTTTCACACTTATTCATGCATTAATTACTAAAACGTACTAATGTTGTATACCTAGTCAAAGCTAAGCAGGGAGACTGAATGGTTGATTTGAGTTTCATGGTCTACAAAGCTGTTCTGTCTCCATTGCTCAGGAGGAGGGTCTGTTTCACCCTCTCTAGGTGCTAGAGTCCCCAAAGTCCACTTTTTTTTTTTATTATGTACAATATTTGCAGTGTTGCGATTACAGATTTTTTTTTACCCTGTAGAATTTAATTTTAAAAAATGTGTAATTTCTTTGTATATTAAGTAAATGAAGTATTATGTAGACACTAATGACCAATATGTTTTGTAAAAGGTTGATTACAAATATTAGATTAAAAATAAAAAGAAATTCAGTTGTATTTTGAGTTTGAGGGTCATTCAGAAGCCGGACAGACCAAAGACCAAGGCTCTTGGCACATCTTATATGTGACTTAGTCTCATCGATGACTTTATCTCTGACGTGCCGTTCCCTCTTCCATAGCTGCCTGGGATCGCCGTGAGTCACTGTGGTTCGTGACCTTTTGCATTTTGTTTGCAGGTGTATAGAAGGAAGAGGAAGCCTGCTGTCGACAGGATTTGTGTTGGCATTCCTCCGGGCGAGGTACCGGCACTTTCTCTGCACTGTATTTGTCCCTGTTCATACCGTCAGTATTTTAACGGGTTATAAATTCCCCAAAGGGGTCAAAGTGGCTGTTAAAGGCTTCTTCTCACTTTGTGTCTCTGTGAAGCAGTCAGTCATTGAGGGGATGAGGACCCCATATGTCAAAAGAGAATGATTTTGGATTATCTCAGGCAGTTTAAGAAAAACATGCATGCCCAACATGTGATCTTGTGATCTGTTCAAGATGATGATGATGATGACATTCAAAGAGATTTTTTGAAATTATATTTTCTTTGTTTCATTCATGTTTGTGTTGTTTTATGCCCTTTAGCCAGATTAGTGAAATTTGACTAGTGGGCTTTCATGACTGTTTTTCACTCAGTAACTTTGGCCTCCGCCTAAGGACTCAGATAATATTACAGAATGTGCCCACACTTACTAGTAAAATGATTCCGTTATTAAATACCTGTTTAAGTGACCATGTCTTTCTTAAGACAAAGAAAATATTAGACTCTTCATTGAAATTTGAGAACGGTGGGGTCACGCTATATGAAAGCTAAGCTGAGGGGGCCGTATTTCATAATGGTCACTTGGATTCAGAGTGTCCGTAATTCGTTATGCAGTTTACCTAATCTTTTCCAGTGCTTCGGGCTCCTGGGAGTTAATGGGGCTGGGAAGACGTCAACTTTCAAGATGTTAACCGGAGACAGCACTGTTACCAGAGGAGACGCTTTCCTTAACAAAAATAGGTGAGGAAAGAACTGGTCTGCGTTTTGCTCCAAAGACTTTTATTACTTAGTTAAATACGTTCTGTGTGTGTTTTTTATGGTCACAATAGCACTGTATAGATAGAGTTTATAAAAATGGTGGAATATAGTCAAATGTAAAGAAGAAACTCAGAGTCATGCCTAATCCCACTCCCTAGATATAACCCCTCTGTCTCTCCTTTCCGTCTCATTGTTCTTTAACAGCTTTATTCAGGTGCGGTTTACATACCATACCGCTTACTTGTTTTAAGAGCACAACTCATGGTTCTTAGTAAATTTACAGAGTTTTGCAACCATCACACAGTCCAGGCTTAGAACATTCCCATCACCCCAAATCTGTTTTATATACATACTAGAGGCCTGGTGCACCGAATTCATGCTTGGGTGGGGTCTCTTGGCCTGGCTGACGATCGGGGCGGAGGGGAGGGACTGTAGGAGGTTGGCCTGCTGCAGGAGATTGGCTATGGGAGTGCACTGACCACCAGGGGGCAGCTATTGAGTTGAACGTCGGCCCCCTGGTGGTCAGTATGCATCATAAGGACCAGTCATTTTGTTGACTGGTTGTAACAGTCACTTAGGCTTTTATATATATAGATATAAATGGATTATAAACTTGAATCATACTGTATCTAGAGTTTTAAAGTTAGTTTTCATTCTTAATGAGTATATTATAACTACTTCCCAAAGGGCTACATATTCTAAAATGTAGAATTTTATTTAATGGATTTCTTATTGTTGGACATTTATTAGTTTCTGCTTATATGTCCTTGTACTTATCTATGGTTGTTTCCTCAGGGAAAATCCCTACAAGGCAAAAGGGTATGCACTTGCCCTCACTAACAGTTGTCTTAGTTTTTGGGGCCGCCATCAGGCTGTCACCTGAGAATGTGCCAGTCACTGGGCAGTCTGATCAGTGGGAGTACAGCTCCATGTCAGAAGCCCGGAGACTGTGTCACCTGGAGATACATGGGGCTCCTCTAGGCTTTGTATATGGTACAGGGCAGTGGCTTTTGACCTTTTCTGATCATGACCCAAATACATCTTACACCTAAGCCCAGTAAATACAAAGGCATAAACAAGCACATAATAAAGGTTCGTAAAACAATACCTACTGTTACTACTCACAGTACACTCTGATAATTCTTACTCTTCTCTCTACCATGTCATTAAAAAATGCTGGTTGTGACCCAATAAGTTCATTTCTCAAGCGACTAATGGGCAATGACTCACAAGTTGAAAATAATGGACGGGGGCTACTGGCCAATAAAATTGAGAAGAAAAAAGAACTTAATGTACTTATGCACCTCCTCCTCTGTCTCTAAGCGGTTTTTCAGTAGCAGTGTGAAGGAGGTTTAAAGAGAACAGAATTCTAGAATAGCAGCCGTAAGGCTGCACACCTATTCCCCTGGGCGTGTTCCTAGCACTGGGCTCCTGGGGCGTATAACAGTGACGGGGATGAGTGGCCCACACTAAGGGCGATCACAGGGACTGGTTGGAAGAGCTGGCTCGGGCAGTGTAGCTGTGAGTGCCAGGAGTGTCCATGGGCGCCTCAGTCATCGTTCTGAAAAAGGGTGGATCTGGGAGTCCTAATTATGTGCAGAGAGGAATGAATGCTGCCGAAAGGGCACGCTCAGGGGCTGCCTGGAGGCTGAAGTGCAGCTGTCAGATTGGATGTGGACACAGTTTCTCCCACGTCACGGATTCTTAACCTAAGATTGGCTTGATAGAGCCTCACCACCAACCCTCCAATGTATGTCACAGTGTGTCTGCAGGTGTATTTTTTCCTGTCACCTGACCAACCAGGTGGGTGCCTTGGTTGGATATTGAACAGGACCAAGGAGTTGGGGCATGCTGTAGCTGAGTTATGTATGGGCAGCCGAGTGCTGGGGGAGGTCACACCCAGAGTTACTGGGACTCCTCTGGGTCTGAATGAAGGAGACTTTGGAGGAACCAGGCACTTGGTACAGAGGACTGGACCACAGAGTCAAGTCTGGGATGGAAGTGCGTGTGACTAGGTTATTGGTCATACAGTTGGCACTGTGGTTGGAGTGGATTCGGGAATTCTAAAATGGGACCGAGCTTACAGATTATTGGGGGAGCCCGGTGCAAGGATTGGGCAGGATGGAGGCAGGAACCCTGACTGCCAGGAGGGGCCGGCATCCTGGGGGTAGAAAGGCTGTTCCTATAGCAGGTGTGCTCACTGGTATTTCTGTCACACACAAGCGTACTTTATAGGAACATTAGGCAGGATCGTCTGACCAACGTATCCCCAAAAGCCCCAAACCTGACCAGTTTTGTTCTCCTTTGCAGTATCTTATCAAACATCCACGAAGTACATCAAAACATGGGCTACTGCCCGCAGTTCGATGCCATCACGGAGCTGATGACTGGGAGAGAGCACGTGGAGTTCTTTGCCCTCTTGAGAGGAGTCCCAGAGAAGGAAGTTGGCAAGGTACTGTGGGCAGCAGCAAGCTGGCCTGCCTCGCCTGGCATCCTGACAATATACCGTGTGGGTTTGGCTCACACATGACCCTCAGCTTCATGCTGTCTTTCTTCCTGGACGCAGTGCTGGCTCTTTGCCCCAGCTTTCAGGGTGGGAATCTGCGGTGGTGGGCTGGGTGGGGTGAGGGTGGGGATCGGGGGTGGGGAGCTGTGGGCAGGCCCATGCTGGAGGGCATGGAGGAAGTGCCCTCCTCCCTGTTGTAGGCTCTGTGGCAGATCATGATGATAGAATCTGGTCTTACTCAGTGAAGTGGAAGCAAACATGGTAAAGTTACCAAACCAGACAGATGTCAAGCAGCTTTTCATTGCTCAGGTCGGTGAGTGGGCGATTCGGAAGCTGGGCCTGGTGAAGTACGGAGAAAAGTATGCCGGCAACTACAGTGGCGGCAACAAGCGCAAGCTCTCCACAGCCATGGCTCTGATCGGCGGGCCTCCTGTGGTGTTTCTGGTGAGTGTGACTCGATGGAAAACTATTCTGGCCCAAACGGAAACATCCCTTTTCTCAACCCCTGTATGTCCAGGGATGTTGCCTGACCGGCTTGCCAGTGACAAGCTCCCCTCCCCTGACCAGGAACAGCAGAGCAGCCTCAGGGAAGCAGAGGGGAGCCCCATTGTTCCATCCTCTGCCAGGCCCTCCGATGCTCCCCAAGAGAGGTGCTCCAGGGCCTGTTTCTGGGGCACAGAGAGCCCTGACAAGTGTGGCTGGGGCTGCCTGTGTGATCTGACTTTTCGCTGGAACATTTTTTTTTTTTTTTACCAACTATGTGTTCATCCCCTGAGAATGGAGAGTGTGGGCACAGCTTCAAGTCCCCCAACTAGCACCCGGGCCTTCATTCCCTACATGCAGACATATGGGAAACAGGAGACTAGATGGGACAGTGGCCCTGGGCCCTTTATCTTCTACGGAGAAGAGCATTGAAGTTATTGCAGGAATAGGCCTGGGTTGAGGCTTTAATGTTATCCAGGCATTTGGACCTGAAATTTGTTTCTCGACGACTAACAAGTCCAATAACGTGGGCTAAGCTGGAGTGAGCTAGAAGAAAAAGAGGAGAGAAGGAATTTCATTTACCAAAACCTTACACTGACTTCAGTAGAGATTTCAGACAAAAAGAATTTTTACTATATATTTGTCAGTCATGAAAAGATGATGGAAACTAAATGGCTCTTTCTTCCCATTTCTGTTTATTTGGAGAAATTTAATTTCATAACAATTTAAGGGGAGCCCTGGCCAGTCTGGCTCAGTTGGTTGTGCATTGTCCTGTGCACCAAAAGGTTGCACAGCATGATGCCTGGTCAGGGCACATGCCCAGGTTGCAGCGGGATCCCCTGTGAGACGCGTGCAGCAGGCAGCAGATTGAAGTGTCCACTCTCATATCCATGTCTCTCTCTCTCTCTCTCCCTTCTTCTCTCTCTAAAAAAATAATCTTAAACTTAGGTGGAGCTTCCTCCTTCAGGGAGACATTTATAAAAACGACCTGGTTCTTGTATGTACGGTCTGGTTCTTTGGCCCACCCATAAGTAACTGGAATGGTTGAGTTAAAATTTAGGCTATTTCAGAGATGCTTCTGCATCTACAACCAAATCTGTCCTTGATGTCTATTTTTCAGCAAATAATAGGATTTATTTTCTTCTAATTACAGGACGAACCGACCACAGGCATGGACCCCAAGGCCCGGCGGTTCCTGTGGAACTGTGCCCTCAGCATCATCAAGGAGGGGAGATCGGTGGTGCTCACCTCTCATAGGTACGTAGCGAAGGCCTGGCCTGGCTTCTCCATTGTGTGATTTTAAAAATTCCAATTGATATAAATGACCACTGTGTAAAAATTAGAAAATACAGAAAGGCAAAGACAAAAACAGTTATCGTCGGAATTGCATCCCTTGTTAGATAACTGTTACTATCATTGGGCAATAATATATCTTTGCTGTTTCCTTATGCAAACCTATGTACCAAGTGTGTGTGCCTGTGTGGGTGATCGATAAACAAAAATGCAAGCTCAGTGTAATACTGCTCTTTCTCATTCAACAATATATTGTGAATATTATTCCAAGTCATTTCTTATAGCTGGAGAGTAGTTCAATTTAATGGTTCTGTTTTTTGTAGACATTTGGGTTGTTTCTAGCGTTTCCACAATTGAACAGAGCACTGCAGGAAAAGGGTTATTCCTACGTCTTCGTGTGTATTTGTAACAAGTCCCAGTGCAGTCACTGGGAACATTTCTTGAAATGCCAGATGTCGTGGTGATGTTCACGTGGGTAGAGGCACATCACTCTAAGCGGAAACCTGGTTCTGTTTTCCCACAGCATGGAAGAATGTGAAGCCCTTTGCACGAGGATGGCAATCATGGTCAATGGCAAGTTCAGGTGTCTCGGTAGCGTCCAACATCTGAAAAATAGGTAACGAAGATCAGTTCTTTGGGGTAGCGCCTGCTGAGAAAGCTTGTATTTATTTTTCTTTTGTGTTAGTGTTTTAAATGGTGGTTCTAAACTAAAGGGAAACAAATTGAGCAAAATGGTGTAGTGGGAAGAATGAGGGCTCTGAAGTCCAACAGAGCTGCATCCTGTCTTCACCTTTCCTGGTTGTGTGCTTTGGGCAAGTTACTTAAGCTCTCTGAGGGTCAGTTTCCTAAGGGATATTCCCCTTCCAGCTTTGTTATCATAGATGGAAGGGAGAAATGTCTACATGCCAGTCTGGCAAAAGCAGAGAGTTGGAGTCAAAAACAGATGAGTCCACACCCTGGCCCTACCACTGTATGGGGTTGGGACGGGGGACCGGGGGGGGGGGG